GAATAAACCACCAGTTTACATGAAGGTTTTTCAGTCTGATTGAGCCGTCAATCCAAATACAAGCGGATTATTTGGTTGGATTATTTGGTTGCATGTAATGTAGCCAGTGTCACATGATCCTTCAGAAATCATTCTCATAATAAAAAGCGTCAGCAAGTGTTAAATTGGCTGGCAACATGCTAGAAGCATGTTAAAACATGCTAGCAACACTTAGCTAAGTGTTAAAGCATGCTATTAATGCAGTGAAACAGAAAGTTTCTGTAACTCATGCATACAATATCCAATCTGCCTCAAACTTCCCATGCTTGAGAAGAGTCCTGGCCTGAACTCAACTTAAGGCCAATATTCAATTATAGTCATAGCGCCACCTGTTGGCAGCAGGAAATTTGCCACAAATATTTACCACTTTAAAAGCATATTGCCCAACGTTCGCTGTTCTCCTATGGCCACCGGGTGGCGGTGAGCCCGGGTGCGAGGGCCCTTTCATCGCTGCTTGCAGCTTTAATTGAAATTGTTCTTTGTGCCAGAGCGCTGGAGTCCGTCAGAAATAGAACGGCATCAGTTTACTGTTGTGGATTTGTCATGTCGCATAGCGTCGCATCCACAGCAGAGAACTTCACTGGGTTCTATTTGCTTTTTGTCACATCACACCGCTCGGCATCTGGTGTATTTGTGAATCTTAAGTATATTCATAATCTGCTTTACGTTTACCTGGCACTGGCAGTATTTTCACAAACTTGTAACTTACATGCTTAGCTTAGAGCAGAACCATGCTCGTTCATTTATATTTCTACATGGCTCCCTGCAATACAACTCATTCTTCAATTGTGCAATCTAGTGGTCTGTTACTGATACAACCACAACTGCTACAACTGATAAAGTAGCGATCGAGTCATATTGAGGGAATTAAAATATGTCAAATTAATATTTTGCGTTCAATTATTTACTTATCAGGCAAGTGTCCACATGATAAGTGGGAAAATTGTGTAGTGTAGTCTTTATCACCCTGCAGAGGTTTATTTTTCAAAATAATCTGCTGACTGCAGCCTACATTATCCCTCAGGTTTGCCGCGCCCCAGTTTGGGAACCACTGCCCTAAGGCAAAGGTAAGCCTCTGTACTTCGCAAAACTTCGCTTAATCTTCACTACAGTCCAATAAACAATAAGTTAATACTGACTAACTTACATTTTAGATGTAATATTGCCAGTCACTTTAATAGTTCCAAACGAATTCAAAGTAGGCTGTTACGGGTCTGCGAGCAGCACAGTTGTTCATGAATGAATCAGTGTTTTAGACGAATTGCTTGAGCGAATGATTTAATGACTCACTCGTAAACTTGACGTTACCCACTGGTATATCGATGTAATTTGCAGAAAGTGAAAATCCTGAAATATCCCCAGCAGAAATGCACAGAATAAAACAGTTTGTCTAGAGCCCAAACACAGACAAGCGGAACGATACAGTTGAACGTCCAAGTGTATGGGATTAGATCTCTGCCACAATTCTGCGCGCGAAAGATCATATTTTGAGGGCGCAAAAGTGCGTTTTTACGCACGCAAACTGAGTTTTGTGGAGAAAATGTTTGTCTCGCAAAGAAGAAAGTATTTTGAGCGCACAAAAATCAATTTTGCATTTAAAATAAGTTTTTGGATGTGTGGATCTCTTTTGCGCATGCAACGTTTCACTAGCTTGCTCACCTGATGCTCACTTCCAGCCTTCATGAATAATTATATATCAATTATAAATGATTAAATACAAGATTAATAGTAGTTATTAAGATTGATGTTGTTTGGAATTGGTAAAATGTGCTTGGAAAAAAATATAATCAGAATAACAACTTGCATAATAATTATGCATGCACTGTATTTTTCCCCTTCTGCTGTCATGGTAATGCAAGAAATGTTGTGAGTGGTTGTCAAGGCAGCCAATCAGAATTTAGCAGCCTTGTCTATGATCTTTCGCACGCAGAATTGTGGCAGAGATCTAAGCCTATACAAGTGCAGAAGGATAAAACTTAAGGGACAGATAACTGTCGTATAAACCCCTGTTAATATTAGGGTTTATGTTAACAAATCTGTTCATCGGGATTTTATTCAGCGACATAACTTGCAATGGTGCTTAAAAAAAATCACTTCACATTCAAATTTGATTTTTTTATTTTGAATATTTTATTAATGTGTAGAAAATGTATTAAAAAAGGAACTATACAGCACATTTTAAGTTAAACTAGAACTAATTTGATCTGTTACAATAATAGGCTATCCAAGGTTATCTGACAATGTGGTTAGCGAGTTAGGGACAAATGTCTCAAAGACGTTCTTTTGCACACATTACCTGCTTCATTAGTGTTCATGCTAAACACATTTCCCAAGAGCCATAGAGGTAAAGGACTAGCAGTCAAACATTTTTACTGCTTTACAACATCCTCCTAGGTACAGAATGCAGGGGACTTTTACAATATCATAATGAAATAAAATAAATGTATATGAGTGGTAAAATGACCTAGTTTCTTGCATACCACAGAGTTAGAGTTCCAAGTGTTTTGTGTAACATGTTTTTTAAGTGTGTTCTTATGGTGAATGTTGAGCTATAAGTGGTTTGGTGGATGGGAGGCATGTCAGAATGAAAGGAACTTGAAGTATCCCCACCATATGCTGAGTCAATGAATAATGAAGGAAAATCTGCTGTCTCTCTGTTGAGAAGCTGTCTCAGTCAGTCAACACAACACTGAAGTCTCTATTCCTCTTTCAGAATAACTACAGAAGGGCTGCGTCATTGTGAACCCACAAACAATTAGTTAGAAAACACAAGAAGGAACACATATTTCCACCCATGTTCTCTACAGAACAGTAACTGGAGAAAATTGTGCCTTCTGGTGCAAGCAAAATGTAAGTATTTTTCAGTGTTAAATGGATTTAGCTTGAGCTGATTAAGAATTTACTTGGTTTCTAGTTCCCATCCCAGCTGTTGCTCCATTCTCTAATCTTACCCCTCAAAAAGGAAAAAAAAATAGAAGCAAAGGAAAAGGGTAGACACTCTTTGAAGACATCATAGTGCCGTCTCTCAAAAAAAGCTCATTAGGAGATTTTCGACTATGCGAAACAGGTGTTGTGAGAGAAGCAGAACACCACAGAACTGAAGAATATTTATCTACGGCCTTACACAAATGGGTAGAGCATACAGATATATTAAAGAAAAATCTGAATTTTAAATTTGACCATAACATTTAATGTCACTGACAAAAAAGATTCTTCAAAGTTATCCTAATAATAGCAAACAAGTTCGCTTAAGGTTTTGCCTTCAGCTGAAATGCAGAATAGAATGTAGATCTTTAAAGTGTTTTAACTGAATTTCAGAATATATGTATTATGCATGAAATTGTTGAAAATAAACCAATATGTAACATTTTACTGTTTGTTTCACTATTTTCAACAAATACACATAACACAACATATTTCAACAACAACTTCGTTGATGCCAGCAGTTAATTAGACAATTAACCCACTCTAATTCACAAATGAGAGAGAGTAATATGCTATAGTAGAAAAAGAATTAGCTTGCTGAGGTAAGAGTTACATTGCATGGGGAAGGTTTAGAAAAATATGACTTGGTTGTACTCCTTCGCAAATCTTTCAATCACTGTACAAAATACACTGAGGCCACGTTAAACTACAGAATGAAATAATATATTCTTGTCGGGTACAAAAAGGTAAAAGAAGAAAGAAGAAAGTTCTAAGTTGCACTATGAGTTGCATTGCTTTTGTGACCTACTGTGTGTACATCAAGTTTTGAAAGCCCAAGCCTGACTGCTTGTCAGCAGGTGGCTGTCCAACTCCATTTTAGAATGACTATGCATGAAAGGAACAGATAATCTATGAAAAGAACCCTTCAGATGGTCTTCACACTGCAAGTACTACTGCAGTGTAAAACACAGACTGCAATTCTCCTGCACTCACCTATGAATTGCTATTAATCTAGAGGATTTACCAAGACACAGATGGACACCATTATTCTTTCAAGTCTACAGGAACAAAAACACTAAAAAGCATGGAGTGTGAGACATAACTATGAGACTATTTGAGTTTTTCATATGTACATATCAGTGCTCTCAGTCCAGTTTATAGCTACAAAAAACAAACAAACAAAAAAACCCCCCGGTTGTGGGATGATGTAAAAATATTACTAATCAGCCTTGCACAAAATTGTACAATTTAAAATTAAATAAAATCAAACACAGGGCACATTATATGACTGAAAAGCATGTGATTATTCCTTTTTTCAGATCAATCTGTTTTGAACTCAGATACTGAATAATTCTTTGGTTTCTGAGGTTTCAATAATAATAATAACAACATTTTGTGTTTTTGTCTGATCTTTTCCAGAAAACCCTGCATTTGCAACTTCATCTACTGCATTGCTGCAACAGTACAATGGCCAACTGTTAAAGGGGTCATATGATGTTGCTAAAAAGAACATTATTTTGTGTATTTGGTGTAATGAAATGTGTTTATGCGGTTTAAGTTTCAAAAAACACATTATTTTCCACATACTGTACATTGTTGTTTCTCCTCTATGCCCTGCCTTTCTGAAACGCAACAAGCGCTACTCTACACTGCTCAAAACTCG